AGCACTACCTCCGCGCCCAACGCACGCATCATAACCGCCCGCTGAGGGCTATTGCCTTCAGACATGGCTATAGTCAACGGGTGGCCCAATACGGCCGACACCACTGCCAGACCGCAGCCCTGATTACCGCTCGACAGCTCAACGATGTGTCCGTTTGGTTGTAGATTGCCGTTAGAGATGGCCGTCTCTATCATACATCTCGACGGCCTGTCCTTAATGCTGCCCCCGGGGTTCATGAACTCGCACTTTGCGAGTATACGTCCCGGTCCGGGCCATATCCGGTCCAATGCAACCATAGGTGTGTTTCCAATCAACTCTATGGCCGACGCCTTGATGTCTGTCGGGCCGTATTGTTTGGCCATTTAACACTTATTATAATTTCAGCAAAAATATAATTATAACTTTAAATAACACTTCACTTATAAATAAAATAATATTTCACACAAATGCTTGTATTTATAATAAATGTAATCACAATTGCCATGGTTGTACAATCAGATAAAATGTACATTGAGTAAAGTGCTAATTTAGTAGCTGTTCAATGGATTGTGGCAAAATATTGCATGTATGCACTTAAAATTCACTCTATATTTGAACTAGCACTGAATTAAGTACATTGTAGGTTTAGAGTTTACTTTGTACAACAATTTTGTTATTTTATATGTTTTATACATGTTATACATGTTTTATGTATGATTATCACAAAATTAAATTAAATTTTTAGTAATATGAATTTTAAAAAATAAATTATATTTAAACATACATGTATGACTATTAATAGTGATTTAATTAGTTATGAAACACAGATCAAATAGTTACTTAAATAAACTTAATCAATGAAATAAATATAATTAAGCACTGCTAGGTACATGAAGCATTTAAAATAACAATAATCAATTATTTATAAAATAAACTTAAATAATCATAATATAATTGTTTATTTATTATGGTATAAGAATTAATTTGTATATATTCCATGTGATGTTGACAGAATTTTAAATTAAATGTTATAATAAATATTTAATCATCAAATAATTTATATTGTACGGTAGTTGAAAAATGATTAAAGTAGAAAAAGCGGGAGAGAGAGAGAGAGAGAGAGAGAGAGAGAGAATTTATCAGCAGTACACAACTTTAGATAACTAATGATCTAAATTCAATGTCAAAACAAGTTATCTAAAATAAACATTATTATTTTTTTTAATAACAATAAAACAAACACGATAAAGTAATTAAGGGGTGATTCGCAAATTACGTTCGCAATTGTTTAAAAATGTTTTTTTTAAGAAAGTTAGTTTTTGCCCACACCTACTCCCACTAAAAAATTTTAAGTTTGAACGTACTTTGTGAACAACGCCTTACTAATGTAGTTATATACTGGAGGTTTATTCACGTCTCAGTCACTCATGTCATTTAGTAGTGGATATTTCAAACCGGTATCATTGAGTAGAGTGACCACCCAGGCATCAGCCGGCAGTTGGCCCGACTCAAGCAACTTGACAGCTGCGGCCACATTAGCGCCCGACGTATAGCCCACATACACTCCCTCTTTGCGGGCCAACAGATCCTTGTATTTGACGGCCTCATCGTCCGTAACACTCACCGTATAATCCATAGTATTGTAAGTGAAAAGTGGCGGAACCACACCAAAGCTCGAGCCTTGTAACAAATGCAAAGGGTTTGGCATCGGTTCGCCTTTAATAGCCTGCGCGGCGGTCGGTTCGGCCACAACACAGACAATGTCCGGGTTTTGCTGTTTCAGGTACCGGGAAATGCCGGCAAAACAACCGCCGGTTCCCACGACTGACACAAACGCCGCCAATCGGCCGCCAGTTTGGCGCCATATCTCAGGCCCAGTAATCTCCTCGTGCGCTCTACTGTTGGCCTCGTTATTAAGTTGATCCACGTAATAGGCATGGTACTTTTCTGTTTGTTTGGCAGCCACCACCTTTACCTCGTTAAGATCGGCACCGGTCACATGACCCGGCTTACCATCTACTTGTTTCGCCAGTACTACCTCCGCGCCCAACGCCCGCATCATAACCGCCCGCTGAGTGCTATTGCCTTCAGACATGGCTATAGTCAACGGGTGGCCCAATACGGCCGACACCACTGCCAGACCGCAGCCCTGATTACCGCTCGACAGCTCAACGATGTGTCCGTTTGGCTGTAGTTTGCCGTTAGAGATGGCCGTCTCT